CCTGTGAGAGGCCCTGCTAAAATGTATTTTCTTCCTTTGTTGTAGCATGGAAAGCACGAACCAGGTGGACCTTGGAGTTCCTAGTGTCTGATTGTTTTCCAGACCCCTTGTATGGAATTGAGGCACCAGAGTTCATCAGAGCAATGACCATAGTAGTGACATTTTTAGGGCATTGAGAAATACGTAGCATATATGGATCATCCTTTAGAGCTCTCTTGGTAAGAGAGTAGTCCAAAAAGCCAGTTTAAATGTGAGAAATGAGTGAGTCCATGATTTTTTTCAACAATAAATGCTAATTCGTAACCATTAAGAAGGTGCCATTCAGGGGTGAGTTCAATCTCTAGCACTGCAGGAAAAGAAACTGATACTGTATGACTGACTTAAAAGTCTTTTTTTGAAAGATGCAACAGCCAATTATATCCTGCAATTGGGTAAAATAATCACTGTAAACATATTGGTGCTTTATGTCAATGGGTTATATAGAGTAAATATGAACCTATGGTAGCATTTGTATATGGAAATCCTGTTGTGCTGTAAAGATAGTGGCATAGAAAGACGAAAATGGAATCATGGGATTGTATGAGTGCTTGTATGTATGTGTGTGTGCACCTAATAATACAGTATTGTCTAAAAACTTACAAAGTAATGTACATTCCATTGTAGGATATTAAATGTATACTTAATGTTTGTTATGATGGAAGTCTGTGTGAAATGAACTGGGGATTCCTCTGTGCTTTATCTAGATCTACTGAGTAGGAAAGAAAAATAAATTAGTATCATTCACATCCAGTTATACATAAAAATGAAGTTGCTTGATTATTAAATAGTCTCATTTTAGAGTATTTTGGTGAGCTGAGATAAAAAAGGCAGAGCACTTGCCTAAAGGCACAAATGACTTTTCTGGGGACATTTTTTTTTTAAAGCTATATTTATAGAGAGCTTTGAAGGAGAGAGCAGGGTTTTTATGGGACTTACCCTCAGGTGTGTTGGCTTTGCTTGTTAAAATTATTAAATGACTTAATTGTTATATTCGAATTAGCAAAAGTAAGAATCTGCTCCCTTGCTTGAACATGAGTTCTCTTTGCTAGATTTTACTTTGCATTGGTCTTGGAAACAAAGTTGTATGTCTTTAGATTGCTCAGAGTTATTTGTGCCTTTCATTGCCCTGTTTTGTGAAAGGACATAACCATTACTAAATTCAAAAGTAGTTTACTAGTAGAAAAGTCTGCTTTTGTTAATTCAGAGGTGAATAACTTATAAACCATCTTATATTTTTCATGTGTCATTGGAAAACATAATTTTATGTAATTTGAAAAAATGTTTAAAAAATTTTTTTAAATTGTACCACTTTTTTCATATTATGAGCAAATTATTTAAATAATTTACTATCTCAAACTGAGAATATTGTATAATTCTTTAAAAATAGGGGAAAGGCATTTGAAATTTGTTTTTTACACTTATTACACAATAGAACTTCACTGAACAAAGAAACAGTTTGTTGCTTTCAGTGTCTTAGTTTATGTACTTTTCTTTTTTGTCTTAATATTAGTACAGAATAATGCTTTAATTTATTACTTTTATCATTCTACCTGTAGTATTGCACCACACAGATTTTCTGTTACCTGAAGCTTTGCCTTTACTTTAAATGTCAATGTGTTGAATACAAATTTGTTGAATACAAATTTCTGTTTCATTTTTAAGATAGGGAATATTTAAAAAGCATAAGCCACTCTATTCCTTGTTGGTATTGGAGATGTGTGTGTGTGTGTGTGTGTGTGTGTGTGTATGCACACAGATGCATGTGTTCTGGCTGATCAGTGGTGCATTAGTACTTTGGGGAAGAGCTAGCAACCCTGGATTCTGGTTTGGACTTTATCGTTCTTTTCACTGGGTGACACCTGTTTCTTCATCACAGTTGGCATTGACAAAAGTGTCATGAGCGTGAGTTACTGAAGAGAATGCACTTTGTAAACTAGAGAGTACCTTATAAATAAGATTTATAGAGGGAAGGAAAGAAGAGTAAGAGAATGAGCTCTCCATTCCCTATCCTTCATCTTATTAATCTATTTTCTTTTCAGTATTTGATTAGTCATAGTTTTAGCAGGAAGCACATGGCACATTCTAACGTTGTGACTGAGAAGAGTTTTATAAAGCAACTGTTTACAAGGATGTGGACCAGGTGCAGGGTATAAGGTCTAGAAGAGCTAGACAAGGAAAGGGAGCAGTTACTAGAACCCAGAGAGGCCACCTTTCAGGAGCTGTAGCTATTGGAAGGGGACATAGCACATCTGTGGTGCCCTTTTAGGATGGAAGGGAGGCATGGGCGCATGTCCTCCCTCTTTCTCCTACTCTCTGTCATCATCGTTTTGTCGTCATCTTCTTCCTCCTCCCCTACTTCAGTATTATAAAGAATATTACCAAGGAGAACAATGAATACCCAATGAAGAAATGTATAAGGCAAGGTATGAGGGAAGGAGCAAGCATCTACATGTGGTCTCCCAGTGTACCACCCTACAGGAACCCCCATGTATTCAGATATCCTGAAGCTTCATGACAATTGCTAGTCTGTGTGGGTCCCTGTTCTCTTTTATTCCACAAACACCTATGAGCCAAGTGCTTCTCGGGACTTAGATTCCTACTTTAATTCTCAACAATGTTGCCCCAGCCAAAATACCAAAATTTAGTGGTCTGAACAACCATAGTGTATCTTATTATTCTGTGGATCAGCTTGAACTTGGCTGGCAATCTGTGGGTGGTGCCTCTTCTGGGGGTCTTATATTGTCAGATGCTTTTCCATGTTGACCTCTTTTATAAACAAGCAAAAAGCAAAGGACAAGAGAGCTGTTGTTAACCCATAGCCGAAACCCCAATCTCCTGGGGCACTGTGCAAGAGAAAGGAACCTTGGGTGTGTTTTCCAATAACAGGAAAATATCTTCCATAGAGTTGATTTGTTTGAATTATTTTTTTCTCCTTCTAATTCTTCCCAGTTCATTCATTGGTCCTGTGTTCTGCCCCTACTTAGAGTCCGCATTATTGTAATATGCTGCTGTGGACTGTGCCAGGCGCTTGGTAACTAGGGCCAAGTCATGTTAAGCTTTGACTGCTCTTGCCTAACATGGTTTAAATGAGATACCAGCCAATGTAATTTATACTTCTTCCCTTCCTTCCTTCCTTCCTTCCTTCCTTGGGGGTGAGTATATAAAAATTCCTCAAGTTGTCCCAGGAGAAACAAAGTCCTACTATCTGATTCTCTTTCCTTTTTTTTTTTTTTTCTATACCATTAAATTAACAAATTAAGATCTCTTCTGTTTTTGTTGTGGAAAGAACTGACAGAGATTGTGGTTTGTTGATATGTCTACAGTTGACCCCTCAGATCAAACCTTTGGCTCTGGGACAGTGATAATGAAGAAGCAATTAGAATTTTTTTTTAACATTCTTTTAATTGCGTAGGAAAGTAAAGATACTGGTTTCTTTCTTTAAGGAATTATTTAAATTATTTAAGAAATTGTTTGTAACTATTTTTACTAGAGATTCTACTTTTCAGACACTTTATGTGATTTTCCAGTATTCATTGCTGAGATTATAAAATATTCATTTGAAACTCTTTAGACTAATCCTATTAAAATAGGCTAAACTGGTTCTAGTGGCATGTACCTGTAATCCCAGTACTCTGGAGGCTGAGGCAGGAGGATCTCTTGAACTCAGAAGTTTGGGAGCCTGTGCAACATAATGAGACCCATTTAAAAAAAAAAAGTGATAGCACTCACATTGCAGTGTTAAATATATATTTCAAGAAATTCCATATAACCTTATTAAGTCATAGGAAAATTATAAAGAAACCTCCTGTTTGACGCTCGGTAGAAATCATTCTTCATTGTAACCATCTGAGGAGTCTGTGCTCACCAAGACATCTGTAGCCATTTAAGAGTCCTTTGATGAAAACTGTAATACTTATTTGAATTTTTGTGATTATTTATAAAGATAGTAATGAAATGCAACCATCAGAAAAGCAAAAAGAATTAGGACAGATGTAGTATTCCTAGCTTCTGATTATCTTTTCCTCCCTTCCTCTTCCTTTCCTGCTGTCCTTTCCTTTCTTTCTATTGTTTCCTAGCCTCCTGGGAGGCAAGGATATTAAGACTCTTGGTCATAAGGTTATCCTGTGTTTCATTCTCTTCTTCAGTGTTTAATATCTAAATGCACATTTTTATTTTCTTCACATTGTTGGGAGAAAGCAAAGTCATTTATTGTTTTGGAAATCTTAAGATAATTTGAAAGAGAATGAGAATAGGGAAGGAGAAAGGAATTTGAAAAAAATGCCACTTCTATTTAGAGAATGAAGTTTTTAGATGGATAGTTTTAGCTTCTTTGTAGAATACATATATTGACATTTGGGGAAATGATTTCCTCTTTTCATCTTGTTTCTTCTAATATGACTCTGATAAGTATTACTGTCAGGCTTACAATAACAGAAAGGGAATGTAAATATGGTGAATACTTGCTTGTCTAGAAACATGAACCCTATTCTTCTCTTTCCAGGATACTGTGCTCTAATTATATCCCATTTCAACATTAGAGAAATGCCTAGAAATTTTAGGCCCTTTTTCCTTTATCTCTCTGAATAGCATTCATACAAATGTATTGTCATTTCCAAATCTAAATCCTGAGTAAGCAAATCAGAATTCTGGAAGCATTTCAAATATTCTCCAGGGAAAAGAGCTTTATCAAGTTTAATATGTTAAAAGACGGTGTTATCATAATTTCTTACAAGATACATGGTTACATATCACTATCAAAATTCCATGCTGAGTGGTGACAGGTTTTCATTTTGTTTATTCTCTTTCGAGCTCATCTGCCTTTGAAGTGGACTCTGGTTTGTCCAGTTTTTCTAAGTGTTCATGTTTTAGGGATGTCATATCCAAGCCATTGTGTCTAATTCAATTATGGGGAGACTGAGACAGTGTTGTGGTCTAATGTGCTACTGTTGTCTATATTTCAGGAACAGGAGAGAGTGGCAAGAGTACATTTATCAAGCAGATGAGAATCATCCATGGGTCAGGATACTCTGATGAAGACAAAAGGGGCTTCACCAAACTGGTGTATCAGAACATCTTCACAGCAATGCAGGCCATGATCAGAGCTATGGACACACTCAAGATCCCGTACAAGTATGAGCACAACAAGGTAGGTGGGACTCCTTGGTGGAACTGTTGCAAAGTGGTCCACAGTAATGCAGCAGTGAGAATGGCTTCTTCACATGTCTTGAATGCACAGTGGATTTTTGAAATGTACATTTTTCATCTCATCTTAAGACATTTAATGGATGTTGAGTTGTTTGTAAATGCATTTTTTTAAAAAAAAATCTTTGAAGTTATACCTACAAAAAACTGGAGTTGTGTTTAGTGATGCTAGTGAAAGACTGGTATTTGGATGTTTGATAATAAATATAGAGAGGTTTAAAATTCAGGGGAGCACATTGCATTAAGGAGACAGTTGAATCATACAGAGTGGCCAAGGTATAGGAATTCAAAGAGGTGATGGCCTTGCTTCAACTTCCTACTGTTTGTGTTTCTTTGAAAAAAAAAAAAAGAAAAAAACAAGCTGAAGACCATTCTGTCTGGTTTAATTTTGAATTTCGTGACTTCCTTTCAGTAGTGCCACAGGCTTCATTTTATTTCAACATGAGCCCATCTGTCACTTCCAATACCTTTCCAACATGTTTCCCTTCAATTGTGTTAAAGTAATGGAAACTTATAAAAATCTCTTGAGAAAGGATTAGGAGAAATAAAATGATTAAAATTTTTGGCTTAGAAAACAGTTAACCTTTTCAATATCTAACATTTTTAGTTCATGAAAACAAATGCAGTAATTGCTTACCCTCTGAATATCATAGAGATCACATACTAAAGAAGGTTGGTGCATCTCAGGGTACTCTATGTTAGAGTTTTTACTGCAGTTGCCCTGTAGAAAGCTCATAGGCAGGGACTATTGCTATGCCAGGTTGTACCAGCACTTGCAGAGGCCCCAGCCTGAAGAAAGGAAAATCTATTTGGAATTTGTAGAAATGTCTTTTATACTCTGCTTTCTTCCCTTCCTATTAGTCAGTACATCCCCTTATGGTATATATTCTCTGTGGGTGCTGTCTTTGCTTCTTAGGGCTTATAGGTGCAGGTCTTATGGGAAGCCTCACTATTTGTTGACAAAACATTGCATTTTTACCTATAATTATATTCAAACCTTCAATAAGAACTTTCCTTCTCTTAGTACTCTTGATAAATCCATAAAGGATATTTCCATTTTCTATGATCAGTATGTAATAGCCAAAAGTTGGCATGCCCAATGTGACTCATAAACTGAGACAGAACTCACAAAAATGAATCTGGAGGTAAAACAAGGCAGTTCTATGTACCTTCATCTCTGTTATAATCCAAAGGTTTCTGAATATTTCAGGTGACCTTAAAATCTGGCATTTCTTTTTCTTGAATGTTTCCTTGAAATTCACTGGCAGTTTCTTATCTAATTGATACTGTCATACTTCATTTTCCAATGGCAATAAGAGTCTCCATAAGAAACAGAGAAATCCTCCACGGGTAATCCCTCCCGCTTGTACTCTGAAATGTGAAAAGAGCTGGGCAGCTTTATGAGCCCAGAAACAGGGTACCTGAACTTTAGTAAGCTCTTCAGAAATCTCAGTGTAGAGTCTGGAATAGGTGGCATGCTTATTTCTTTGTGGTTGTGAGAAAAATTCTGTTGGAGGAAGTTGTTTTTCTTTTTTCTTCACTCTCTTTTTTTAATGCTAGTGATGTTCCCAGTCTCAAAAATCAGTTGATAATATGATTAATTCTGACCAAGTTGTCGTGTGTGTTATGTATATTATTTACCAAACACAAATATACAAACTTGCTGGTTTACATGTTGAAATTTAATAAACTCAACCAAAGTTTTACCGACAAATCTTCTATCTTAGATGCTTGAAAAGAATTTTTCAGGGTCTTGCTCTGATATTAGAATTTATAGGAAGATTATTTATTACATGGTCATGTAGAAGATAGGGTAAAACTTTGCCCTGTTCATGTAACACAATGAAGAGTATTTCCTGCTGTGTGTTATTTGAGCTCTCTTTATGTATAGCAAATATTCCATTATCCAAAATTGTAAACATTTCTGGTTCCAAGCATTTGGGATAAAAGATAATCAACTTGTAGTTTCTCCTTTTAGACTTGGAAGTTTGGTGACCAGGGCTCATTTAGCAACTTGGCTGCAGCTACTTTTGACTAACTTGCAGGAGTTTTGAGGGCTGTTTCCCTTCCTCCACAGATGAAGCTGTGGTTAAGGGTAGAGGGATGCTCAGAGGACCAGTGGTACAGTATCTATTGTCCCTCTTGAACAGTTCTAGGGAAGGACTTGTCCCAGGAGAGTACCTTGTGCTTTCTGAATTTTCTGTTTCCTGAAAAATTCCGGATTTCAGAAGCCATTTTTCATTTTTCCAACAACAAACAAAAAGCAAAACACTTCAATTTTGAAGAACATACCAAGTTATTTCTATTTTTGATCAATTGAATAAGAAATTTCTTTTTTTCAGCACGAGAGAATTTTCATAATTTACAAAATGCCAAAAGGCTAATTTCATTTTGATATTTTTCACTCATCTAATTACAGCCCACAATAAAGGCAGAATCAATAGATATAGATATATACTTTTTATTTGTTCATCCTGATAGTTGTTTTATGAAGCCAATACTACCCAACTTAAGTAGAAAAATAATTTATAGTAATATGAGCTCATGGGGATAAGAGAGGAGAAGCTGAAGGACTAGACCTTTGAAATCAGAGTGCCTGGGGAACTCATCTGTGAGATGTGATGAGCTCTGACAAGTTTCAGTCTTCTGTCACTTACTCAAGATTCAAATTCCTTGGAAAAAGTACTTGAGTTGTCTGGCCTGGATTCTTTGGACAGGTGGAGGCTGAGTAAAGTGATTGACAATCCCAGGGGAAATCTGGGTACAGTTAGTAGAATGAGGGGAATGATGCAGGCAAAAATCACAGCCCTCCACTGGCAAAAAAAAAAAGGCAAATTTATAGCAGCAGAAAATGACACAAGATTCTCTATTCTGTATAGAAGCCTGTCCTAAAATATAATGTCTTATTCAGGGGAGTAGTGACTTAGTAACGGTTATACAAGAAGGATAAAGTTGAGTTTTAACCCAAGCATTTAATTGCTAAGTAACCTTGAGCTTGTCACATTTCTTCCCTGAGCCTCAGTTTCTTTACTTTCTCAGTCTGAATTTTCTCATTTGTAGAATAGGGCAAAAATATCATATGATTGTTTCAAGTGTTAAATAGATAAAGTATGTGAAGATACTTTGTAGATATTTTTAGACGCTTGGGAGTAATAATTAGATGAATTGTCATGATGGAGACTATGAACACTATAAACTTCACATCTTGATTAAGAATAAAATAAACAGAATGTAACTTAAATAATAAGACCATATTTAGGAGGTATCGCAGAAAAAGTTTCCTCAGAATGACAGTCATTGAAATGGGATACTAAGGGAGGTAGAGAAATATCCTTATCTGAATGCGTTCAAAAATAGTGACGTGAAATTTTAAAAAGTAATTTGGCTAAAGTGAAGCAAGTGATGGACCCTACAACCTCCAAAATCTTTTCCAACTCTATTTTCCTCCAGAACTTGAACAAACAGATGAAGTTGTGGTTAAATTATTGTATAGTTTGGAGCTTTTACCTTTCTAAAACTTGTGTCCATTCTAAAATATTAAAAAAAAAACAGACAATAAGTAACAGATTTGTTTTGACAGGGAACTATAATCCATTGGAGGAATTTTTCTTGCTTTACTTTTAAATCCCATAAGTGATTACAATATTTATATCTACATAGGTGTGTGTGTGTGTGTGTGTGTGTGTGTGTGTGTGTTCCTTCAGAGTTCAAGCTCAGATACAGCCTTTGTGGGGGTACTGGTGACAGTGATTTTAATAGCATTTCTGGCTGCTAAATACTATAGACAGTCTGCTATTCCTGCATCTACAAATTTTTCAGAGTTTTCTTTTTTTTTTCCTTTAATAGTTTATTTAAAGTTTGTTTTTTTTTTGTTTTTTGTTTTTTTTGTTTTTTTAATTCTAAAGGCACTTCCTGGCCAACTTGATGAGTCATCCATCTTTTTCTGAGCTTGGTTGACCACTTTATCATCTCTCCAGGACTCTTCTTGGGAGTTTAATTGTCATTGAGTCTCCAGTAAATATGTCAGCTTTGGAAATCCCTTTCTATCCTTTCTTTTGTCTTTTAATGTCTTTCATATATGTCCTAGCCACATTTTCTTCTTCTCATTCTGTTCTTGTTCCATTGTAGTCCTTAATTCATTTTGTAACAACGACAGTCATGTAAAAATAGAAGATGAATATGAGATTTTTTTTATTGATTGTTCAAAACATTACAGAGCTCATGAGAATATGAGATTTTTAAATCCCTTTTTCTTACCTAACATTAATCCATAATCCCAAGGCACACCATATCACTTATCTAGGATGAATAGCTGAGTTCATTGACATAAGAAGACGACTCTGAAACAAAAACTGAGAGTTTTTTCTTTCTTTTTAAAAAATTTTTATTGAAGTACAACTTAAATCCAGAGAAATGTACACATCCTCAGTCTTGAATCTTGTGTAAATTTTCAGTTATGAAAAATTTGCATTCTGTCTCTTAATCTGGATCAGCTTGACTGAAACCTCAGAAGGCTCTTCATGCTCCATTCTAGCCAATACTCCAGGCTCCAAAGGGTGACACCATCCTGCCTTCTCATAACCTTTAGTTTTGTTAGTGGTTGAGCTTGGTATGAATGGAAGCATACAGTAGATATTACTTTGTATCTGGTTTATTTCAATCAACATTATGTTTGTGAGATTCACCTATGTTATTACTTACAATTTATGTATTCTCACTTCTTTACAACAGTAGTGACCTATAGAACTTTCTCTGGTGTTGAGAATATTTTCTATCTATACTGTTTAATATTAGCAGCCAGTAGTCATAAGTAGCTACTGAGTTTGTGGAGTATTGGTTGTATGACTGAAGAAATGAATTTTAATTTTTATTAAACTTAATTTATATTTAAATTCATATTTGACTAGCAGCTACTATATTGGACAGCAGTTGTATAACATTCCA